CCCTGAAGCTGGAGCATGAATATCTCAATCATGACAGAGCGGACTATATAGAGTTACATCGAGCCTTTACAGAATGAGAAGTCTGTATCCTGCACTTTGTATCTGTCTGCTTGGCAGGCTGTTTGATGCCACCCTTTGTCTGTCACCCTCCCTGCAGTGACTACAGCGTTCCTCTGGAGGTAGTGAGCGAGACACAGCTGGCCCTGTGCCACCCAGAGCGAGAGCTGCTCCCCCTGGTGTTGGCGCACTGTCATTACACCCTGAGGAAAGGGGAGGAGACGAGCAGCAGCTACGACCTGCGGGGCATCCAGGTCCAGCTCACCCGGCGTTTCCTTGCAGGAAAACCCCTCATCCAGGAGGTAAGAGCTTTACACACACACTCTGAGAAATAACTCCAGAGTCCAAGAAAAATAACTCCAGTGGTCATATGCCACTGTCGAAGAAAAACTTCTCGTGAGGGCTTAAAGCTGAAATTGAGGTCCAGTCCACTGCGTGATAGTCATTTCGGCAGATGCTCTCATCCAGAGCAACTTAGAAAGTGCATGTGATGGAAGTGGCATGAAAGGTTGCACAAGCAGAACACACGTGAACATGTTTCTGTTTCTAGATTCTTCTGGGTGTTTCCAGAAGTTTCCAGAAGTGTTATTGATGGGGGGTGGGGGCAGGTTGGGATGGTAGTTAGATCAGACAGGCTGTGGGTTTGAATCCAAGGTTTTGCTGGTGTACCCTTGAGGAAGGTACCTCACCAGCTGCTTTGGTATCCAGCGTGTAAATGCTAATGAACGCCTATCATGTCCCACTGGGGAATATATCTGCAAAAGCAAATAAAAGAATAAGATTGAAAAGCTTTTACAGTAACAATGACAGCATTATCATTAGAGTGTGTTTATTTCTTTGGAAAGGCAAAGATGTCCTTTTCTGAATTTTTTGGCAAATTTCTCATTCATTTGTGCATCCGGTTTTGTGATGAAGTATTCGCACCTACCCTCACAGGTTAGGCTCTGTGTGTGTGTGTGCGCATATGTGTGTCACATGCATAATCTGTCAGGTAAGCGGCTGGCGTCAATCACACCGTCGCCATAGCAACAGTCAGAGGTAATGAAACAGCATGTTGCCGTGGGCCATGGGATCGCTCATGTCAGAGGAGCTGAGAAGAACATAAATCACTTGTTCTGCCACACGGGAATGCTTTCAGAGCGCGGACCCGGGGAAACTGTGCTTTAATGAGGGACTGGCACGCAGGGCAAAATTGCAGAAATGATCCATGCGATATTAATATTTTCATTGCATAAACCATGACAGAAACTGTTGAAATGTGTCTTTACAAAAACAGGAGAAAGGATATAACAAACCTTTATCCTCCTCTTCCAGTAGCAGGATGATTTCCTCTGGAGTCTGACCAATCAGGACTCGGGTTTTGTGAGGTGTCTGTTGGAGGCTGTGCTGATGACTGTCTGGGCCCTTTGCAGGACACGTCTAAATACCTGAGCAGGCAGAGCCAGGACTTCTCAATGGTGCTGGCGGAGGTCAGGGCCAGGATCCCCCAGGTGAGGCGTCCCTAATCCTAACCCTAACCCTAACTCTAACCCTAATCCTAACCCTATCCCGGTCCCTAACTCCATCCCTAACCCTAACCCTAACCCAGGATCCCCCAGGTGAGCCGTCCCTAATCCTATCCCTAACCCTAACCCTGACCCTAACCATAACCCTAACCCTAATCCTAACCCTAACCCTAATTTTAACCCTAATCCTAACCCCTAACCCAGGATCCCCCAGGTGAGGTCTCAGAACTGCAGGTGACCCGGGTGGGTCAGGTGGCCGGCGGGTGACGGGGTCTCTGTTTCTCTCGCGGGACAGGTGCCGCTGAAAGGTTCGGTGCGGGCGGCGATGAGGGCGACGCTGCGCTCCTTCACGGACGCGTGCGACGCGGCTCTCGCCCTGGAGGTGGGTCTGCGCTTCCTGGGGAAGACGGGGGGCAACCCCCGCGACCCGCTGGTGCCCTACCTGAGGGACACCCTGCGGATGGAGGAGCGCATCTCCAGCAGTGTGGCCAAGGTGAGCTACAGGTGCGGCAGGGCCACAGGTGCACCAGGGGCCGACCTGTCCAAACAAAGCACCCTCCCCAAAGGCAACCCTGTCCCGGGATGGGACAACCTTCTAGCTAAGTCTCTCTACACATCTGTTAGGGTTAATGTCTTAGTTAGGTTTAGCAATAGAGAGCTGGAGTTTGGAACTGAGGTTAGGAACAGGAATATGACATTTCATGATTAGGCTTAAGATTTATCTAACTATATTAATAATTAATACTATTATCTCATTCACTAATTACCTAAATAACTAAACAAATATATAACTAGATTTAATAGCAGTATGTCCTTATTTTTATTGTTATTAATAACAGATGACAGACAGACAGGATATCCTTCTAGCTAGCCTCTACAGCTTTTGTTAGAGTTAATGTCTTAGGGTTTGGGCTTGGGACTGAACTTGGGGATAGAGGCATGAGATTTGGATTCTACATATTTAATGACTGCATCATTATTTTTGGTTGTGCTTAATAACAATTTTTTAAATATTGTACATAAGGTGAGTTGGCACCATCCTTTTCGGTTCCCCTCCTGTAATTCCAGGGTGGATGTCTGTTCTCTGGAGGGTCTTTCTTGGAAAGGTTTTATTTGATCGTTCAGTCATCTGTAGAAATCAGCTCACCTGGTGTTTGTTGTGGAAAGCAGCTGCCAGCTGAAGGTTTTCCATGCAGGGCTCCGGTGCCTCACGCCTGCCCTGCTGTCGGCTCTCTGACTGAGCTCTGGACATTCAGAATGCAGTCAGATCTCACTTCACTTGGTCCTTCACCTGACCACCTCCCCAGTCAGAGATTCTGGTAATCTCTGGCTGTCAGACTCTCTCTGGGTTACCTGTGTCAACCAAACCGAGGAAGTGTTTCACTAATTGTCTTAGACCCCACTGAACGGCTGACCTGAAAAGGTAGCCTCTCTACCGAATACAGCTGTGTGTGTGTGTGGTGTGTGTATGTGTTAGAGATCTGTGTAAGGCACACAGATGCAGTGAAAAGTGTAGCATAGTGGTAAGCAGCAGGGCTCGTAACCGAAAGGTTGCTGGTTCGATTCCCTGCTGGGGCACTGCTGCTGTACCATTGGGCAAAGTATTTAACCCAGAATTACCTCAGTAAATATCCGGCTGCATAAATGGATAGCAGGTAAAAACTGTAACCTATGTAAGTCGCTCTGGATAAGAGTGTCTGCTAAATGACAGTCATGCAGTAATGTAATGAGAGAAGGTGAAGGAAGCCCTCGCTTTGTCCCCAGGTGCTGGGTGAGAGTAGACTGGAGCACAGCGTGAGCACCTGGCAGCTCCTCACCTGCTGGAAGTCGGAGCTGAGAGCGAGCCGAGGGCAGGTGAGTTCGTCTCAGGCGTTCGTCTCTTTCAGAAGCGGGTAAAACAGAGTGCTGCCACTTTACACAGGGGTTTTATTTCAGTCTGGCGCGACAGCAGCCCAGATACTGCCTGCATCCAGTCGAACCACAATGCACTTTGCCCTGAGTTACAAGAAACTTTCAGCAAAGTTTTCACCTGTCATTTCATAAATTGTGGGATTTCTGTAATGTATAAAAAGTCGCACTAGATTTGTCAAAGTTGTGGCTGCAATAAAAAAGAGTCAAAAGATTCTATGTATGCTGTTTTTATCATCACAAATACCAGATGCAGTTCTACAAAGGTTTGCACTAGTTCTGTTATTACAGTGAAAATAGGAATGGTGTAATACAGTCTCCACATTCCAAACAATCTAACAGTTTTAGATCTGTATTTTCTTTAATTTTCATTTAATTCCCTTATCATTGAGGGATTTTAGACTTAGCGTGATTATTGCATAACTGGGTCTCTAGCAGATGTGTAAATGTGAATGAATGAACTGATGAATTAGGAAAGTTCAGAAATGGTCCAAAGGCTAGACCCAGTTAAAAGGTTACAGACCCTACTGTACACTAACTGTACATAAAAGTTTAAACGTTTGATTTCAACAAAGCTAACTTGATAGTTCCTATACAATAATTCAGACACCACGTAAAAGCAGTCTCACCAAAATGTGTCACTCTGCTTTCCTGGGTTCCATGTTGTCCTCCTCTAGTTTGACAAAAAAAAAGCTTTCAGCTTATTGTCTTTATCAAGGTAATTCAAAGCTTCTTTGCATGATGTGCTTTAAAAACAAATGCAATGAAACAATTTCCTCCAACTGAATCATCATTGTTTCGAAGCATTTGGTTTACGTTTACGTTTACGTGCTTTTTTCTGGTATGTGTTAGACTCCTAATTTGGCGAGGCCCAGGGCTCCTTGGGTTTGGCTGTGTTTCTGACTGGGGCCTGACTCCAGACCTTGCCTGTCCACAGGAGCCCTTCCAGAAGCTTCCGAAGAAGTACCGGCAGAGGCTGTTGGAAGAGGAGAGGAAGGCCGTGATGGTCTTCCTCAGAGTCACAGATGCTGAGGCCTTCAGCTGGGAGCTGCATGAGATTCTGCTGCTGAAGACCAGCAACCCCAGCCCTGACGACAACTACCCCCCGCACTGGGAGTAAGAGCAACCAGCTTATCCCCGCCATCACCATTACATTTACATTCACATTTATTCACATTTATCCATAGCGACTTACAAGTGAGGCAGAGTACAACACAAGTGAGGAACAGTATTAGAAGCACTGCATGACCAGGCTTCAATAGTTAGCCAGGCAAGGTACAAACTAGCAGGTAAAGCTAATGAGTGCGTTAAACCATTAGATTACATGTTTTTTTTAATATAATTTTATTTTATAGTTTAGTAGGAGGCAGTTTGAGACATGACAGGTTCCTTTAGGGGGTAGTGGTTCATTCTGACGGGGCACTTCCATTTAGACCTGCTGGCTACCAGTTACACACCCTCTGCTGTTTATGTGCTCTGGAGATGGCCTGCTCCGGAGTAACTTACCAGGGTACGATAGCAGTGCAGGGTGGCAGTGTAGCATAGTGGTAAGGAGCAGGGCTCATAACCAATAGGGTTGCTGGTTCGAATCCCCCGGGCACTGCTGCTTTGCCCTTGAGCAAGGGACTTAACCCAGAATGACCTCAGTAAATATCCAACTGTATAAATAAATAACATGTTAATATGGTAAGCTATGTAAGTTGCTCTGGATAAGAGCGTCTGCTAAATGCCAGTAATGTAATGTGTAAGGGCAATGCTTTGCCTTGGCATCAAACATGCTTTACCCTAACCTCTGGTTATGAGCTCAGTTCCCTTACCACCACACGCTGGGGTTATGAAGGGCTTGGCTTTTTCAGATTAACAGTGGGGATAGAACTTAAGTTTAGGATGACCCTGCTATTGCTATTATGGAGTATTTTAATCAATGAGATTGCCAGCAAACTGTTGCTTGCTCAGTCAAAATGTCTCTTTTTAAACCAAAAAAAGAGAAGGTGTGTGATTTTTTTTCAAGACGTTCTCAAGCAGAAATAATTAAGCACTTGGCGTCAGGGCACCCCCCCTGAGATTTGGGGGCCTTTTGACTCAGGGGTCAGCAGTTTGACCCCTCTGAGCTGCCATCTGTCAGGGGAAGGGTCTTCCCTCTCGGGCTGCCATAGAGCCAGCAGCTGGGAGGGAGTGAATGGCAATGCATGCGGTCAGGACAAAAGGACAGGAATGCTAACTGTTGCTCCTTAACCCCCACCACCCCCCCCCACCCCCAGCATCAGGTCCACACTGGAGATCCATCTGGAGCAGAAGAGCAGCCCACCCCTGCCTGGGCTGGAGGGCCTCCCGGAGGAGCTGACGCTGGAGAAGGGAGCTGATATCTGGAGGCTCGCGGTGGAATTCAAGAGATGAGAAGATGCACTTTTCTCCCCCCCCAGCCCAAATGCTGGGCTCATTCTGTGGCCTGTGACCACCTGGTAGCTTCATCACAGCACATTTCTTTTTTTTTTTTTTTTTTTTTTTAAATTTTCCAAATGGTTTCCTTTTACCGCAGTTACACAGTCTCAGGGGAAGAGAATGTGTACACTGACAAAATGCACCACATTTGGCATTAGAGAACCAAGAAAGGATCACAACTTTAAGCAATGCAGGATAAATTACATGCACTTTATTACCACTTTATTTAGAACTTCTGTATTTCTTGGTGAATCAAGGCACAATAAAATCAAAATATTCAATCTTCAGAATTGCAGACATGAGCAAGCACCTGCGAATATTCCGATACAAAACCATTAACGGTAATGAGTCATAAACAAGTGCTATGTTTATCATACAGGTCTCTAAAAAGCTGTGAGATTACATTCATATGTACTTGATCATTGTTTGTATTGTTTTACAATTCAAGTTATGTGTAACACATCAACTGAAATACATTTTCAGTAATTCATGATGAAAGTGGCACATTTTAAAAAACAAACTTTTTGTTGCTGGTCACTCTTTCCATATTTTAGATCTTCTAATTTTTGTGTATGTCAGATTCAATTTCCAGTTGATTTCTCCTTAGACAATGAGGTGATTATTTTTTTTACTGTTAATTTATGTTAATTGAACACATAGTTACTTCCTTCTGGGATAAGACATTGGAAATGTAAATAAATAAATAACCTGAAACTCTGGACTTTATCTGTGATTTGAGTCATGATTTTTTGAGTAATGTACTCATTTTGAATACAGGCTGATACAGGTGTTAAATTCATGAGAGGTTAGTCCATGAAGATAAGTATCACTGAGCATAATCCGTAATATTTATCTAACCATATACAAAAATGTCTACTTTGTATATGGCCATATGTTATAGTTACATTAAGCATAATTCTGATGGCTGTATTGGAAAAATGCCCGTTTACGCCTTGTCAACGTGACTGCAGTAAATTACGAACACGTTGTGATAGGGGGACATTTGTGTAATTATGAGCAAGTTTATTAAGCTTTTCATATTTTATTATTTTTGGAGAGTGTTGCTTCATTTCCTTTTCCGCTATATGGTTTGTCCCGGTTCCCCTTAAATAAACGTAATAAATTATCAACAGACACCACAATAACTTTGTATGGAAAAAAAAAGACTTTGCGGAAACTTGAGTTTTAAAAAAAGAAATGAAGCATGGAGGTTTGTAATAAACTTAAAATAACTGACAAATAATGATTGTATAGTACATAACCTTGAGATAGTTTATATTTTCCCTCGTTATCTCCTCAATCATTGCCCCCGTCGCCGTAAGTACGAAAAACATCTGCCGGCTGAACTTGGGAATCGCAACTCCTCTTGCAAAGGCAACCAACCTTACGACATTTCCACGCCCCCATTTTAGCATATATGGCAAACCGGAAGCAGTTTGACCAATCGTATTCCTCGTTTAGATCCCATGACGGGGTTTATCAGCCAATCACGGTGTCCAGTGGGAGGAGCTTATGTGTTTGTGGTTGCTAGAGAGGGGAATGTGTGCGTGTTTCATTGTCATTTTCAACTGCTGTGTTGACGCTTGCGGGCTGATCAAGACGTGTAACAGACACTTTCGGAGGATCTGCTTTTCATGTTTGTGGTTTTGCCCAATTTAATGCGGTCTGCGGTCCTCTGGCATCCGAAATCGGTCGCTAGCAAGGTGGAGAGCATAGACGTAGCTAGCTATGATGATGGGGAGAATGAAAGCCATTTTACTGCGCGTTGCATCGAAATAGCTGGCTGCATCAACACACAGCTTGCAGGATATTTTGTATCGTCGTTGCTGAGATGAGATCGTAGCTATTTATGTTTTGAAACTTGTGGCTACTGTCATTTTCTGTCTTTTTGTTGCAAAAGGAGTGATTAACCGTACAGCGAGATAGTTGAATGTCCTGATAATGAGATGGCTAGCGAGTTAGCTGTTTCACAGTAACGTTAGGTAGCTAGTGAGCCAGTGAATAAGATTTTTTTGTAAATCTTAGCGAACACTGCTAGCAAAGTGTCGGGGATATACATTTTTTGGTCTTTTGTTTTTATGAGCTATTAACTATACGTTTTGTTTCTTTTTGGAAGCGTGCCGTTTTTGTCATCTGTAAGCTATTCTCTTTATAAGGGATATGTAAGTGGAGTTCTGGGTTATGCGTACAAAAGCCCAGTTAAGCGTCAACAGTTAAATTCGTCGTACTTTTGAAGACGACGTTACTGATTTTACAAATCGGTGTCATCGACACTTCGAGCTCCAAGTTGCCTGCCGTGGTCACCCCCGAGTTGCCGGTGCCTCGGAGATCATTGCCAGCCACTGAGCATCGGTAAGTTGGCCATTCATGACACCTTTTGCTTTCACAATATTCAGTGTGATGTGGTGGACGTGCCTGTGTGTTGGCATCCATGGCTTGTTGTCATTACATCATTGTCATTTGGTGGATGCTGTTATCCAGAGCGACTTACATAGGTTACATTTTTATTTCATTTTTTACAATTTTACATGTTATCCATTTATGCAGCCGGATATTGACTGAGACAAGTCTGAGACAGGTACCTTGCCCAAGGGTACAGAAGCAGTGCCCCAGCGGGGAATCGAACCAGCAACCTTTCGGTTACTAGCCCTTGTCTTTATACTACACTGTCGCCCATGTCCCCTTTGTCATGGATGCCAGTCTACGCAAAATTAACGTAGCTATTATTGTGCATTTTATTTGTTAGTTAACTACCCCGTTCGCAGAAATCGACAGGTCCAAGAGGCTGTCCTGCAGGTACCCAGCAAGCGAGGTATAGTATTTACAGTAACAGTAATTAAACACAGTCTGCAGTAACGAGTCCGTTTTTTTAGCGGTGAGCTGTTGGAGTTAGGCCTTGAGATCAGCAATGGCGTTGGATTATTCTAGCCTCATGAAGATCGCGTGTAACTCAGTGTTTCCGCACCGGGTTGTTGGACAGTTAGACCGTGTTCTGGGTTCAGCTTTTGCGGTGCAGTCCCGCATACCCATGGCCCCCGCAACACTGTAACCCAGTGCATTAGCATTTTACAGCGGAGCTCGGAAACCCGCGGTCGCCGTACACCCACGCGTGGGATCTGAGGTGGTTGGACAGGATGACAAAGCGGGTGCAGGGCGTCGCGATGAAGGAGAATCATGTAGGTTTTAGGATCGATCTGGCCACGGCCGTCCTGTTCATCACGCGCTGGCAGCTCTGAGCCGGTCGTCACATGGTCCCGCATCCATTAAAAAAGTAAGTTATGACCAGTCCTAATAAATTGGTTTCACAATACCAGGGTGTGAACTTGTTAGCCAGTTTCTTGCCATTGCCAAGCCTAAAAGTGTAGTGGGCCACATGCAGAATTTTTGCTTTTGATAGGCACCTGATGTTGTCAGGGGCAACATGCCTCCCACCTGCAGGAACCCCATCGCTTCTTGAGGTTCAGGTCGTGACTTAACAGCTTTTTATTTGTCGAGCTTCACCTGAAACGAAATGTTGGAAGGAGCTGACTGTTTGCGGTAAAAACGAGGCTGCCTGCGAATTTCGCTCCGGTTGGCTCGGTTGCGAGTTTGGGGCGACGCTCTCGCTGCAGTAGAAGGAGCGTTGCGTGTTATTGGTACGCGATACGCCGTGATTTTGCGCCGGTACGCTTGCGTACACGCTGCCATTGAGCAGATGGTGTTTGGGTTCCTTCGTTGCCCGTGGCAACGCGGAGCGTACGCGGAAGTAGTTCTACTCTTGGAGGTGCGTTTGGAACGGGCGATGATTCACGGTGACACGGTGTTACATCGCGCTGTGAGCGCTGCATTCCTGCCGAGCCTACCTTTCGTGCACTTATCCAGCCAGGCACTTACTTAAATGATGCAGAGTCAAGTACCTTGCTGAAAGGTTCAACTGTATTGTCTCACCTGGGGTTTGAACCCGTGACCTGATGGTTTCGAGTCTGGCTCCCTACCCAGAGCGGGGCGTGTTTCTGTAAGGCGCATGCGGGTAGTTACATTACAATACATTACATGCATTTAGCAGACGCTCTTCTCCAGAGCGATAATAGAACATAAGTAGCACAACAGAACATAAGTGTATCCATTCAGTTTAAATGAGCATCAGTGTCAGACCAGGCTAACACTCCCAGACCAGGGAGTGTG